AACTACTAGAAAAGTAAGCATAAGACAAAGGAAGGACAGTCCAGGTACTTCACTGGTATCTGAGAGATTAAAAAAATGAAGTCAATGGAGTACTACTGGGTGGATGCACTAATGAAGATTTGTAGAATGGAGCTGCTAAGAAGGGTAGAAGAGAAGGAAGAGAGAAAATGATGATCTGGAAAGGCTGTACTGGGTAGCAGAAAGAATAGACGCTTTGGCCCTGTCTTCCTTATCAACTGTGGGATCTTAAAGCCCTTTACCTTTCTAGGCCTCAAAATCCTTATCTGTAAAATGAGGGGTTCAGCCATCTTCCTGTACATCTGTGGAAGGTATACCCACCCCAATGAAACCACATATCCACCACCAGACCAGATGGGAGGATTCTCCCTTAAACACAGGATTGGAAAAAGTGAGCTGTATTTTGTGGCTGTTCCTTACGTCTTGGAGCAAAAACAATCTTTTCTATGGGAATACATCTTCAATTTTATAATCATTTTGCCATTTTGTCATTATAATAATTATGATTATTTTACCACTGGCCATCTAAAAGAATTTGTTTTACATTAGCTTTATAGCCCAAAACACGGATCTGGTAAACCAGAGGACAACTGTAGTTAGGGAGGCTGTGGGTACAACGTGCACAGAACTTTGCTAATACCTCACACATTAAAGGGACTTTAAGAACCATTCTGTCCATCCACTCATTTTACAGATGGATAATCTGCTGTTTGTTTTCATTCCATTGCATCCAATGTGACCCCACGGACCACAGCATGCCAATATTGTCCATGGGGTTTTCTTGGCAAGGATATTGGAGTGGCTTGCCATTTCATTCTCCAGTGGATTAAGGCAAAGGGAGGTTAAGTGACTTGTCCAGGGTCACACAGCTAGTAAGCGAACCCAGATTTAAACTCAGGTCTTCCTGACTCCAGGCCCAGAGCTCCATTTACTGAGCCACCTACCTGCCCCAAAATAAGACTACTACTAGCATTTATATAGCACGTTAATGCTAACTTTACTTAGAATTTCTCATTTGATCCTCACAAGAGTCCTGGAGATAGGTGTTATTATTATCCTCATTTGATAGATAAGGAGACTGAGGCCAACAGAGGTTAAGTGACTTACCCAGAGTCACAGAAGTAGCAAGGGATGAGAGTAGATTAGGTGGCTCACTGTTTAGAGCACTGGGCTTAGAGTCAGGAAGATTCATTTTCCTTAGTTCAAATATGTCTTCAGACATTAGCTGTGTGACCCTGAGCAAGTCACGTAACTGTGTTTGCCTCACTTTCCTCATCTGTCAAATGAGCTGGAGAAGGAAACCCCAAATGAAGAAACCCCCAAACAGAATCACAAAGAGTCAGACACAACTAAATAACAACTCCTTGACCCCAAGTCCAGCACTCAATCCACTGAACTACTGAGTTGCTTCTGAGGCTTCAGGAGGTTAATTAACCTCCCTCGTGATAGTGGCAGAAACATATATGTTTCCTTAGGGAGTATCATCTACCACTATGCAGTTTTTTTTTTAGGCAATTGGGGTTAAGTGACTTGCCTAGGGTCACACAGCAAGTGTGAAATGTTTGGTCTGAGGCCGGATTTGAGCTCAGGTCCTCCTGATTTCAGGACCAGTGCTCTATCCACTGTGTCACCTAGCTGCCCCCTCACTATGCAATTTTAAAGATTGACAAATAGGATGATGAATCATGGAGGAGGGGGGGAAAGATGAGAGAGAGGAGGGAGAAGGGAGACAGAAACTGGGGGAAAAGACACATATGAATGTATATGTTGGCAAAGAATCATTAAGAGAGAATGTATGGCAAGGATCTCCATGAATTTTGCCAGACCAGTGGTCTACAGCATATGAACAACTCATAAAACCTAGGATTGGAAAAGATATTATGGATAATAATATCCAATCCTTTCATTTTTAGAGATGAGAAATTGAGGTCCTGAGAGGCAAGAGGCAAAATGATTTCTCTACTTCCTTACCAAGAGAATGTGGATTTGAACCCCAGGCTTGACTGCAAACTCAAAGCTTTTTCTGCCCTACCACAGGGCTTGTCCCCTCTAGTTTAGCAGCGACAGTGTTTCACAATGTTTATTGTATATTCAAGAATCCAAGTTGCTTCTCTGTAACCATTCTCAAATGAAGGCTTCTCTGCCACTGGTCACATGTAAAGGAAATGGCAGGCTTCTTCCACCTCCATTGAAATATAGATTTCAGCTCCCTCACCAGATGAAATCTCTCTAGGGTCCACTCACTCTAATCCCCTTTACAACACCTTTATCATTGGTGTACATGTGTTTGAACAGCTGTAAGTGGTTACGAATCTATTTTTGTATTTTGGGTAGTATTATTTTTATCTGTAGGATGATTTTTATTCAGGTGTGTCCTCTCCCTCCCCCACTTCTTCCATGCCTCCTATTTCCCCTCCCCCTCTTCTTCCAAGTCTACTTCTTTTGTAGCAAACTCCCTAGGGTGTCTGACACAGTGAAGGCTCAGCGTAGTAAGAGCTGATAATGATGACAAGAATTGAAACCCACGGCAGAGAAATGTACATGCACCCTTAGTAACACATTCCAGCTAGTGAAGAGGAGACCTCTGATAGAGGCCATCCCCAGAAAGCCAAAGCTGCTCTTGAGGGCAGCTGGTCTGTCCCCTTCCCCCTCACCCTAAATGCAACCATCCCGGAAATGGCACTTTCACCGGCCTAATTCAATTAGTTTCATTAGAAATTCTACAGCAATACAGCACTCACAGGAGAAGCCTCTTGACTAACAGGTGGATAGATAGCAAGTCATAAATTCTTCAAAATCATCATCTATCCATTCTTCAATTTCATCTCCTGCCCCCAGGTACAAATGTGGCCCAATAGTCCCTCAGTTATAAGGGACATGGGGGGACGGGACCAACAGGAGCCTATTCTACTAAGCTTTTTATTCTGCAACAGACAAGACTACTTTTAATTTTTTTTTCTTTAGGGGTCCAGAATTTAAATGTATCATACTGCTACTATCCTTATGCTTCAGGGCTGAGTATAGTGGTTGACAAATGACGTCTCCAAATGTGGCACTCACAAAAACTCTTACCACATTTTACTTTCAAATTAAAAATCAACACACTGGTCCCCCATGATCCCAGGGAAACACTTTCTACATCATTTTCTAATTACATTGAGTAGCACCCCAAATCTGGGAAGGCTATAGACACGGATTAGAGTGTGTTGTTTCTTTGAACTGTAAAACAACTTTCCTCCCACAAATCAAAGCCCCAACTATATCACACTGACTTAATTCAACCCTAAAAACTCTAATTAGTGGTTACATAAAATGGCTAATTATGCCTCCCTAGATTCAGACAGTTTCTGCCATCTCACTTAAAGACTCTTAGGAGACATGTAATCAAACAACCCACCCTTTGGAAAGAGAATGCTAATTAGCATTGTTGATTAGTGACACAAGTTATAATATTTTTCAGCAGCCCCTGCAAAATTTAAAAACATGTCAGTGAAAACACCAGATTCTTTACACCTTACTTGCTTTCAAAAGAGTAGATAAAAACATACAGGCATTTCCCACTGTCCTTCTCAGGCAGTTAGCAACAAAAAAAAAAACCCGCCATAATATAAATGCTAACTAACCCCTTCCAACTAGAGGCTAAATGTACCAACTAACACTTTCATTAAGTAAGGGTTCTGCCTACTTTGCAGAAGCGTAACGCAAGCAATGAATTAATTCGATTCAACAAACACGTAAGCGCCTACTACGCAAAAGCCATTGTGCTAAGTGTTGGGGACACCAGGGGCAAACTTGAAAAAAACTGCCCACGAGCAAAACACACACACACACACACACACACACACACACACACACACACACACACATATATACGGGGGTGGGGGGGAAGGTTGAGGAGGGGAAGGCAGCAGGGTAGGATTCCAGGACAGGCAGGCCCTATTTCTTAGGGAGCTCTAGTCTCCCCGAACCAACGCGTTTAAAATTTTATAATGCTTTCTTTACACTTCTTTTACTAGCCTCGTTTCTTGTAGCAGTTCAAAGGCTCGGGGAGGAAATGAGGTCCTGTCCTGCGGCTGACTCTGTCCCAGCGTGTATCTGGAGTTCTCCTAAGAGGGGTTTCAGCGCTGCGCCAGCCTATTTCTGCTCCACCCCGGCGTTTTTTAAAAGTAAACTCCTACCTGCCTGTTGCTCCCTGAAGCGCAGCGGGGCTCCGCCGGCTGGGCCTTCAGGGCTGGCTTAGTTATATAAGAGAGGTGTGAAAATAAGCAACCCCCCCAGCCTCAGACTGGGCAGCTCCGGGGTCACCAGCTGATGCTCTAAACTAGGCTCATCGCTAGCTGGGAAAGCCATGGGAATCTTTGTTCCCCTCTTCTTGGAGGTCGAGAGCCGGCCCTAATGCGGCCAAGTCCAATCTTTGGCCGGCCACCCAGGGCCTCCCTGGGACCCGCTGCAGCGGATAAACCGCTTGGGATGTGGCCAAGGACGTGAAGCAGGCTCTTGTTTCGCTAAGCTACGGGCGCCCCGAAAATTGCGCTCCAGAGTAGACCTTCCCGCAACACCCCCCCCCCAAGATAAGGGACGTGGGAAGGGAGAACGAAGAGGGGCGTCCTGGGGCTAGGAAGGGCATCTTCGCACCACGTACAGATGTGAGGCTGCGGAGTCAGGGAGAAGGGTGCGGCGGGAAAGCAGGATATATCTATTGGGAGACTGGAGGGAAGCGGGGTTCCCAGGGTCAGGGAAAGAGAGAAATGGGGCGGGGTCCGCTAGCCAGCAGGGATGGGAGGGGTCCCTGGCTGGAAGAGGAGGGAATAGGGGCCCGAGCCCGGGTACAGGGCGGGAGCGCAGTCCTGGGGACGGAGGGGCGCTGCGGGGAGATGCGGGGTCCCCGAGTGGGGGGCGTCTCCCCCGGGAGGTCCGCTCCCAGGCGCTGCCGGAGGTTCAGTTTCCGGGCCCAGTCCCTCTCGGCCTTCCCCGGGGCTCACCTGGGTCCCAGCGGGTGCGGACGACCCCGGCGCGGGGTGTCGGCGCCCAGCAGCCCCCCGGCTCTGCGGCCTGCGCTGGGCTCCGTGCAGAGGCTCCGCGCAGCCCCGCCGCCGCCGCTCCGCTGCTGCTTTCCGCTTCCTGTCCCGGCACCGCCCCGCAGCCCAGAGCCCAGCCCCGCCGCCGAGAGAGTGAGCGAGCGAGATCCCGAGCCGAGCCCGGCGCGGCCAGAAGCCAAGAAGCCGCCGGGAGCGCAGCCAGCGCAGCTCAGCGCAGCTCTGCGCCGCGCAGCCCTGCCCTGCCCTGCCCTGCCCACCTGCAGGCACTGGGGCGGAGTCCCGGGCTCCCCCCCAACGCACGCCACCCAGGCACAGACCCCGCACACGCGGAGCCCCCTGCCTTACCCCGGCACCCACTCCCAGCAAGCTGGAACACCTGGAAAACCGCCAGCCCGGCGCCACTTATCCCCTACTTCCTCTGCACTCTGCCCACACTGTATCCGAGGTGTGGAATGGAAGCACCTGGAGGACAGGCACAGATTTTTGTTTTGTCCGCTTAGTCCCACCCCCAGCACTGCAGAGTGCCTAGCACCTAGCAAGCTCTTAGTGAATAAATGCCTGATGGATTAGATCGGGTCAGTTCAGCCCCAGTAAGGCACTGTGCTGGGTCTCCCAAGTGTACAGACTTAGAAAGATTAAAAAAATCAAAACAATTCCTGCCCTCGAGGAAACTACCTCACACCCCCAAAACTATTACCAAAGTGTAAGAAGTTTAAAAAAAAAACAAAACTGCACAAATTAAGGATGCCTTGAGTGACCAAAACAGATGTTCGATGGTCCATGACTTTATTCATAGGAGAGTTCTTTAGGACCCTCAAAATCTGTTTACTAGCACATCATGCACAATTTTTACACATTTGATACATGTAATTTTGCTTATTCTAAACTAGATCCAGAGGCGGCTAGGTGGTGCGTTGGCTACAGTGTCGGCTCTGAAGAGCGTTGTTTTGAGTATCAAATAAGAAAATATTTCTAAAGCACTTAGCACAGTACTTGGAAGATAGTAAGCGTATTTACAATTATTATAAGATTACAAGTTTAGGGGGCAGCTATGTGGAGCAGTGGATAGAGTGTCGGCCCTGGATTCTGGAGGACCTGAGTGCAAATATGAAATCAGACCAAACACTTGACACTTACTAGCTGTGTGTGACATTGGACAAGTCACTTAACACCAATTGCCTAAAAAAAAAAATTTAAAAAAGATTACAAGTTTATAGGATGATGAGCTGGAAGCAACCTTGGAGATCATCTCACCCAACTGCATCTTACAGGGGAGGAAACATACATAGAGTTGAAGTGATTTGATCAAATTCACTAGGTCAACAAGCATTTATTAGGCACTTACTGTGTGCCTGGCAATGCTTAGCATTCAGGATACAAAGAAGGGTAAAAATTTGGACCCTACCCTCAAGGGCAGCTAGGAAGACCTGAGTTCTAATCCAGCCTCAGATACTTACTGGCTGTGTGTTCCTGGGCAAATCATTTAACCTCTCTGTTTGCCTTAATCTGCTGGAGAAAGAAATGGCAAACCACTCTAGTACTTTTGCCAAGAAAGCGCCAGGAACTGTCCTGGCATGATACAGTCCATGGGAGTCACAAAGAGTCAGACACAACTCAATAACAAAAATGCTCAAGAAGTTCACATTCTAATTGGGGAGACAATGTGCAAAAAAGAATGCTTATATTTAAAAGATATATCATTGGCAGTTAATCTCAGAAGAAAGATGCTAGGAGGGAGACTGGGATGGGTAAGAGCCTCAAGCCAAATTAGAATAGGGAGGATTTAAACTGAGTCTTGAAGGAAGCCAGGGAATCTAGAATTTCAAATCTAGAACCTTTGACTCCAGAGCTACTCCTCTCTCTACTACACAGGGTGTTAGAGTGAAGACCATGAGGTAGGAGAGAAAAAACAGAACTTTATACTATTTATGTTAAAAAGATGAATTAGGCATCTAACGTGCTATCCACTAAATTCCAGATAACTGGGATGGAGCGTTGACCATGAGCAGGGTGACATTTTTCTCTACCCCTACTCTCCCATGTATCAGAATTCTATAGTCTCACCACCTTTGAAGCAAGTTGTGTAACCCTAGAAATACCCCAGGAACCGAATCCCTTCCTATTCACTCTGCTGCTCCCCGGGCCAACTCTGACCCCATTTGACTGTGCCGTTGAAATACCTGTTCTATTTACAACAAATTCCCTTACATCTTCCAGCTTTTTCCACTAGCACGCCTTAGACCTCCATTTCTGAAATGTGATATCAGACTTTCCCTTGAGGGTACCATATGCCTCACAACCCTCTTCTTTAGGGGATATGATTTCTCCTCTTTACAGACCCAGGATGGGAGCTTGCACACTCCTCACTCTAAACTGCCACTTCCTTAGAAATCATCTCATTCAATTCCATTTTACAGAGGTACTTGAGATTAGCCTTAACCTTCCACTCCTGTGATCTGCTCCAAGGGATTTTTTTGTCTTTATTGGAGGTGGAATGAAATATGTGTGGGGGTGGGATGGGAGGAACAGGACTTTTTTTTAATGATAAGAGAGGTCTCCGGAAATAGCCAGAGGGAAGAATACATGTCTTGTTGTTTAGTCATTTCAGTCATGTCTGACTCTTTGTGACCCCATTTTGGAGTATTCTTGGCAAAAATACTGGAGTGATTTGCCATTTCCTTCTCCAGCTCATTTTACAGGTGAGGAAACTGAGGTAAACAGAGTTGAGTGACTTGCCCAGGGTCACACAGCTAGTAAGTGTCTAAGGCTGGATTTGAACTCATAAAATGGGTCTTCTTGATTCTAAGCCCAGTGCTCTATCTACTTTGCCAAATACAATAAAAGAAGGTTAAAGATTAAGAGAGAAGAACAAAAATCATTGGAGGAGATGAGAGGCTGAAATCAAGGTAACAAGTGGAGGGAAGGGTTAGTTTCGGCGAGAAGGAAGCCTGCTTCATCCTTTTAATATTAGGTAGAAGAAGGTAGAAGAAGATGAAGGAATTCTGAGGTGTGGGGGAAATCAGCTGAGGGCGCTTCTGTCAGATGCTCTCAGTCTTCTCAGTTTGGTTCTGTGCTGAAAGAATGGAGTGGAACATGGGACTTGAGGAGGAAATGTTTGTGGCAATTTCTATGAGGAATATGATAGATGTGACTAAAAGGATATAGCAATGAGGGCCCAAATGAGGAGAATATGATGAAGGCTTTCATTACACATGAAGCTCCGTGTCCCATCTCCCTGATTTTTGCACTGGCTGTCTCCCCTTTCTGGGATGCTCTCCACCTTAACCCCCCCCCATTCCAATCCATCCCTGTCTTCATTTATGGTTTTTTTTGGGGGGGAAACGGCAATGGGGGTTAAGTGACTTGCCCAGGGTCACATGTGTCTGAGGTCGGATTTGAACTCAGGTCCTCCTGAATCCAGGGTTGGTGCTGTATCCACTGCGCCACCTAGCCCCAACATCCCACCCTACCCCCGTCTTCATTTATGACTCAGCTCAAGTACCCCATTCTCCAGAAAGTCTTTCCCAGATGCCCTTTCTCCAAGCTTACATTTCCTCTATCTTACCAATCTCATATGTACATTTTGGCCCTTCTGCTGGAGTGGAAGCTCCTTGCTGTGAATTGGTCCAGCCATTCTGAAAGCTATTTGGAATTATATGAAGAAAATGACCAAACTGTTCATACTCTTTGGCTCAACTCTATCACTTCTAGACCTATCCTCCAAAGAAATTAAAGAAACAGAGAAAGAATCTGTATGTACAAAATAATTTATAGTGCTTCTTTTCAAGCTGGTCTCAAACTGGAAACTTAAGGGGCCAGCTTCCTACTGGGGAAGGGCTAAACAAAATGGTGAGATATATATGTAATGGAATACTATTGTGCCATAAGAAATGATCAAATGGACAGTTTCAGAGGAACCTGGCAAGACCCATATGAACTTAGAGTGAAGTGAGCATAACTAAGACGATGTAGATAATAGCAACATGATGGAGAAAAACAGCTTTGAAAAACTTGAGAACTGATCCACTCAGTGATAAGCTATAAGTCCAAAAGAATTAAATGATACTTAATGGAAAGGTGATGAACTGAAAATGCAGAAAGCCACGTATATTTTTGGATGTCACTACAATGGGAAAATGTTGTGCAGCTACAAACTATACAGCTATAATATTAATAGCTAGCGTTTACATAGAGCTTTAAGGTTTGGACAACATTTTATAAATAAATCATTTGATCCTCACAACTCTGGGAGGTAGGTGTTATTATTACCCCTACTTTATTCCTGAGGAAACTGAGGCAGAGAGGTCAAGTGACTTGCCCAGGGTCACATATATCTATTGCATGTCTGAGATGGGATTTGAACTCAGGTCCAGTTCCAACTCTTTATCCACTGTGCTATTACTTATTAAAAGTTTCTATTGATTGATACATCTAGCTATGTGTTGAGATAGATCTATAAACCAATGGGAATTTTATATATGATTTATATATCTATGTGTCAAGAAGCAAGTAGGTGGTACAGTGGATAGAGCACTGGCTTGGAATGAGAAAGACTCCTCTTCTTGAGTTCAGATCTGGACTCAGATACTTATTAGCTGTGTGATCTTGGGCAAGTCATTTAACTCTGCCTCAGTTTCCTCATCTGTAAAATGAGCTGGAGAAGGAAATGGCAAAACTACTCCAATATCTTTGCAGAGAAAACCCTAAAGGGGGTCACAAAGAGTTGGACACGACTGAACAAATGTGTTGAGGGCTTCATTTTTTGAGTTTGTTTTCATTTACTTTGCTCAATGTGGGAGAAGGGGGAAGAATTTTGGAATAGATTAAGAATAAATGCCTGTTGATTGAAAAATAAAAATCATTTAAAAATTTTAAGTTAAAAAATATAATGTGAACCCCTTGAAAACAGGGACAGTTTCTGTTTTTTCTGTGTATCTCCCATGCTTAGCCCAGTACCTGGAACATAGAACATTGAATAAATGCTTGTTCATGGATTGACTATAGTGAACTCAGCCCATGTGCTTTCCTATTTCCTTCAACTATTCAGATACTTAGAATTTAGAGTAGATAAGAATGATCATACAATTAATAGTTTGTGGA